GACTCGAGCCACCCTCTTCGCCGTCTTTGGCGCGCATCCGCTTTGCAGCAAAGGGAATGCCGGCCTCATGGTAGAATTTGGCACTCTGGAAGGACTTGACGAGGTCTGGGATGCTCTCGGCGATACCCACTTCATGCGCCAGCCGGAAAGCCAGAGTGGCAAATGTGAGCCAACGGTAGATGAGCTCCTGTTCCAGCGGCTTCTGCTGGTAGGCGTCCAGATACTCGCCCAGCAGATTGTTCAGATGTTCCTTGTTGTTAGTCATCAGAACATAGCGCAGAATCTTGTCAAGTAGACGACCATGGGCCACTTGCAGGCAGTGTACCAGATGGCCACCCATCTTTGAGCCCATGATCATTTTTATTCGATAGGCTTCATTGATGTTTCCTCGCATCACCTCCGAGGCAATGGTGCCTGCCGTTTTTTCGTCAAGTTTTGCACCACCGGCCTTCTTAAGATGGTAGACGGCGTTGTTGAGTTGTGTTAGCGCATTGTAGATGAGCTCTGATATTTCCTCCAGCGGGGAGACTTCGGTACTGGCCTGCATGATTACCGAGGCAGCCATCACTAACTGGGCTCTGGCCACGAGGTGAGCAAAGTATCGGCTGACTTCTACGGGCAGATGGTCATCATTGCCGCCAATCAGGGGTACTGAGGTCGTGGCAGAGGCAACCTCCTTGAGAAGTTCATTTGGTGGACGTAGAATGAAACGGTTTTCTGGTTTTTCCAGATCTGCCAGCACTTCGGCGTAGGCCTTGTCATCATCACTGCTGCTCGATCTTCTCCTAGAGGGATTAAAGAAGGTGGCTGTCATGTCGAAACTTTAAAAAAACTTGTTTGGAAGAGTAAGCAGGCAGCACAGAGAGCCCCCCTTTTTGGTTTATGCCTAACACCAACAACCGGTGTAGCATTAGTTTGAAAATAAAAATTGGTTTGAAACAGTAAAGGTGATAAGTTGTCTTGGTGCTTATGGGCAGAACAGCGTACACAGTTATCAACGTTGAGACAGTATTGATAAAGTTTCGTTGCAGTTCTAAGTTGGCGATTTATTTCAGAGGTGATTGGAAGTTGAAATTGTACGTGAAAGTATACCTGGCATTAAACCGAATATCTATTTTATCAGTATGGTAAATAATGGAGTAGTCTCATGCTACTGACTGGCTGTCACCAGCTTGTGAATAATATACGGTTATTCGGCCACGGCTGGTGAATTTCAACTCAAATATTCCTGTCAACTTTCGGAGGACGCCTGAAAAGTATTGTTCAAAAAGAAGTACTCCACGTTCACGAGTTAAGTTCCTCGAAAAGTAACTACGACAACATGAAAACATGCAGGATTGTGATATCTGATTCTCGAGCTGACAGAGGGAACTAGAAAGCAGTATTCTCCATTTTTGCACTTAAAGGACCCATGCACAAGTCTATCGCGTATATTAAGGCTAAGAAGGTTAACCCTAACAGCTACGATCTTCCAGGCCCATGG